GAATAGTTCTAGGGATGTCTCATGATTCCCTGAGCTGCAGCAGCCCCAAATCTTTCTATGGAGTCCTCACTACTCAGGGAAGTTCCTTGCCTCAGACTTTGCCATTCAGAATACATCTGGTCTCAGACACATGTGACCCTTTCCACTCCTGGGCTGCACTCTCAGCCATCACAACTTTCTTCTGTTCACCCAACCCACATTGAAAGTTCAATCCCATTTAATGGAACACTCCAGCCCTCATGACTCTCATAATAACCAGGTTTGCCCTAGACTTAGTCTACAGGCTGAAAAAAGCACCCCAGATCCTAAGTACTCACAGAATCCTGGTAAGTGCTTGAAATGGTGAATAAGCACCAGCCCCAGTCTGAGTGACATCCTGCTTCAATAATCTTTTGCTTCTGCGTTCACACATCCATCTAATGCCTATTCTCCCCTTGGAAGCCTAGCCATCTGCCAGACTATCCTGTCCCTGACACATTCCTTTTGAGGCCACTTACCTGCCTCAGTGTGTTTGTAAAGCCCCAAACCAGGCACTCATACAAAAAACCTAGTGCACAGTCTCCACCACCCCCTGTCTGACCCCTGATAGTTTTACCACCATAATCTGAAGTTTGTTGCTGTTTTTGTTCAGTCACTAAGTCCTGCCTGACTCTTTGCGACCCCATGAACAGCAGCATGCCAGGCTTCCCTGTCCTTCACTATCTCCCAGAGTTTGCTCAAACTCATGTCCATCGAGTTGGTGATGCCATCCAACCATCTTATCCTCTGTCACCTGCTTCTCCTCCCATGACAGAACAGAAGGTAATCTGGAGTATTTTGTCCCTCACCAAATGTACATATACTGGAAACTGACTTTATGCTTTGGGGTCAATGCATTTGAATTGAAATAAGATAAAGTTTATTAGCTCATTCTAACAGTGGACATGTTTTATGTCTGAAAGACTCTACAAATAATCTTTTTATTTTTATCTGTAGCTTTGACGTGGGTTGCTAATGCTAAGTCGCGTCAGTCGTGTCCGACTCTGTGTGACCCCATAGACGGCAGCCTACCAGGCTCCGCTGTCCCTGGGATTCTCCAGGCAAGAACACTGGAGTGGGTTGCCATTTCCTTCTCCAATGCATGAAAGTGAAAAGTGAAAGTGAAGTCCCTCAGTCATGTCTGACTCAGCGACCCCATGGACTGCAGCCTACCAGGCTCCTCCGTCCATGGGATTTTCCAGGCAAGGGTACTGGAGTGGGGTGTCATTGCCTTCTCCGTGACAGGGGTTGGTTGACGCCAAAAAATAGTATTTTTGGCCTCTGGGAGCATGCTTAGCTTCACCGAGTCTGAAACATGTCTCCAAACACTTGGGTGATCAGCTGCAGAGAGCACTTGGCAGAAATGCAATCATGATCCCTTTAAACAGGGAGCGAAGCTCACCTGTATGTGCCACTTCCCAAACTCCCCTCCTGGCCATCTTCATAAGAAGCCCAGTCCCCGCTCTCTGGGGAATCTATGGGGACTACATTACCCAGAATGCTCAGAGTCGAGCGGCAGTAATGCTACCCAATGAGAGCTTAGAAAGAGGAGGCCGCGTAACGTGAGGGAGGAACTTCCTGCTTCCTCCGCTTGGGAGCCATGTAAGCTGTTCGCGGTTGAGGAATTCTGGGCCAATCCTGAGGTGACGGAATTGAAGAAGTCTGAGAGAGAGTTTCTGTCCCCGCTGCACAGAGGCGGGTCTCAGGCTCGACGCCGCCGCCTGGGGTTCCCTATCCCAGGCCTCGGATCGGGATCGCCGCGCCCGTCTACTCTCTCTTGTCCTGGCTCCGCTCCGCCCCCGAGTCCGATGGCAGCGGCAGCGGCGAAGAACCCGCTTCAGGTAAACGCTGGTCCTCCGAGCCCTGACCCCACCAGACATTAAAAACTTAGGGTCTAGGACGGTGAGGCGGTCGTGGGTGGGACCCTGTTTCTGATAGTGTGATGGCGCTTGGGAGAGGGTGACAGGCAGAGGGACACCTGTTAAAGGGCGAACCGAGCGCTGCGGCACCGAAACTGAATGGGTACCAGCATCCCAGAATTCAGGGCCAAGCAGGGGTATCGGGAGGCCTGAACCCATCGAACCCCGCCATAGACGCATCCCTCAAGAGCTGGCGGTTTCCACATTTCCTACGGCTACAGAGGCACTTTTTGGAGCCAGCACGCCAAGTGCTGTTGGGAGGGTGTCCCATTTCCTCACTGGCCCTGACCGCCAGCCACATGTTCTCTGGATTGTGGTTTCTTGCGATCTCTTGCTGCCTTGTCCCCAGTTTGGGATATGGAAGCCTTGGAGAACCCCCACGGCCAGGGTTATATGAAGGGACTTTCGTTTCTGACAGCCGTCCATAAACAGGTATGAAAGGTCTTGAGTCTTCGTTGTGCGTGCAGGACTTTAGCTGTGGCACGAGGAATCTTTAGTTGCAGCTTGCAGACTCTTAGTTGTGACTTGTGGGATCTAGTTTCCTGACCAGGGATTTTACCCCCGGTCCACTGCATTGGGAGCTTGGAGTCTTAGCCTCTGGACCACCAGAGAAGTCCCACGTTGTATTTTCTGATGTGAAGGATGAGGGAGTAAAACAGGATTCAGGTATACTTCTTGCGCATTGTTTTGTTTTGAGCAGGTATGATAATGGGAGCTCTGATGAGGAAGCTGGTAATAGGAGTAATATTCTCCAGAGATATTAGAAACTTCTGAGATGTTTCTGAGAGCATTAGGTGGTGGCATTAATTGAGCAGCTAAATACACACGTCTAGAAGTCTGGGGTGTGGGACAGTGAGGAGGTGGTGATTATAGGCATGTTGCTGTTTGATCCAGTCTCACAGATTATGCATACCTGAAAATGGAATATCCTTGATGACACCAGGGTCCTGGAATTGGGACTTATGTGACCTGGGCCACATAAGTGGAATATCCTGGCACGAGTGTGTGGATCCCTCTATGCCAGGTCAACAACTTTGATACCTACCTACCCACCTCTTCCTGTAGATGACTGGTTCCAGTGATAAGTGGGACCATTTGAAGACAGTGGCATTAGTGGTGCCAGGGCCTGATTTCTTCTCTGAGTTGGAGAGTTTGGGAGGAAGATGGGCATGGGGTGGATGTGTGTGGCGGGGGGGCAGGGGGGGGGAGTGGGGGGGTGGGGGGAGTGGACAGTTGTTCTTGAGAAGGGGGCTATTTCTGATTTCATTTGTCCCCATCCTGCCAGGTCAGTGTGACCTTTGAGGATGTGGCTGTGTACTTCTCCTGGGAGGAATGGGGTCTCCTTGATGATGCTCAGAGATGCCTGTACCACAGCGTGATGCTGGAGAACTTGTCACTCGTAATCTCCTTGGGTAAGACTGTCAAACTCATCTCTGTTCCTTGAACTGTCTCTGCCCTTTCTTTTCCCCAGGAGCATTCTGTCCTCACATCAGGACTCTGGGTACTGCTTCCTTCCCCAGTTCCCTGGGTTGGTGCTGTGGTTGGTTGGGCTGAGATTTGTGCACTGTGCTCTCCTTCCTTTAGCATATCCAACACTAGCCTTCCTGTTGACTTGCACTCTTATTATTATTATTTTTAAAAATTCTTTTCATTATTCTTTTCCATTATGGTTTATCATAGATTTTTAATTCCTTGGTTCTTGTATCATCAGAGTGTCATGTATTTGATCATTGAGAGGGTGGAATCTGGTTGGAGAGCCCACAGAATTTCACAGGATGTATATGAATCAAGCAAGATGGCTCAGATGGAGTCTGGCCCTGCATTGTAGCACATAAGAGACATGATGACAGTGCTGTATTCAAACTGCAACAGAAACCTATTGTGTTTAACTAGAATTTTGATTCCAGTGGCCACACTTCATTTGTGTCTTTCCTTCTTCACCTTTCTTGACACTTTGCTGATTCATGATTTCTTTTGTCACTTAACTGTTACTTCCAACCTGTGGTTAACCTCACATTTCTGGACTCCTCTCTCACCTGTTTTTCTTTTTTTTTTCTCACCTGTTTTTCTTACCACTGCATCTACAGTGCTTTACATATTGGCCTCTGTGTATTGTTTCGTGAGGTGTGCATACATTCTTAAATAGTCCTGCAACACCAGGTGCCCTGTACAGTTGTATTTTCTTGGGTCTTGACACAGCTTTTTTAAAATTATTATTTAATTTTTATTCTTTTGAGTGTGTGTGTGTGACACAGCCTTTTTATACAGTGTTCATGTGTCACCAGAAGACAAGTTTCTTTTGAAAGTTGGCTGTTGAGGAATGAATTGCAAACCCTGTCTCTCTGCTTTGTGTCCACCACATGGTTGTGCCCTTCACCTCATAAGGTCTCTCCCGTTCTCTGATCTTGATAGCCCAGTAGTGCTAAGCAACCCCATCCTCAACCAGAACCAACTCTTTGTTCCTGCAAACAATTTCATGGAGAGGTTCAGGGGTTTATTACACTGAACTTGTGTAGCAGCTACCCCCTCCAACCAAAGTCAGTGTGCAGTTCACCAGCATTACTTGTTTTCAGGTTGTTGGCATGGAGCAGAGGATGAAGAGGCACCTTCTGAACAGAACATTTCTATACGTGGACTGTCACAGGTCAGGATTCCCAAAGAAGGCATGTTCTCCCAGAAGGCCCATTTTTGTGAGCTATGTGACCTGGACTTGGGAGACATTTTGCACTTGACTGAGCATCAGAAGCAGAAACTGTATGATATTGGGGCATGGGAGAAACACTTGTATTTCAGTGTAAAACATCAGCACCGCAAGCAGCACATTGGAGAGAAATGCCTCAAAAACAAGATGGGCAAAGCCTCATTTATGAACAACTGCAGATTTTTTGTGTTGGAGAAGTCACTTTCCTGTGGGGAGTCCACACAGACCAGGGATAAGTCAAACAGGAGAACTGAGTGTGGAGCAGCCTTTCACAGGGGGAAAACTCATTACAGCCCTGGAGAATGCACTGAAGACTTCAGTTGCAGACACATACTTTCTCAGCATCAGAGAGTCCCCATTAGAGAAAAATGCTACACGTGTAGTGAATGTGGGAAATCTTTTAGCAAAAGCTACAGCCTCAATGACCATTGGAGAGTTCATACAGGAGAAAAGCCTTATGAATGTGGGGAATGTGGGAAATCCTTTAGACAGAGCTCTAGCCTCATTCAGCATCGGAGAGTTCACACTGGAGCAAGACCTCACGAGTGTGGTGAATGTGGAAAATTATTTAGCAACAAATCCAACCTCATTAAACATCGGAGAATTCATACTGGAGAAAGGCCTTATGAGTGTAGTGAATGTGGGAAATCCTTTAGTGAAAGCTCTGCACTCCTTCAACACCGGAGTGTTCACACTGGAGAAAGGCCTTATGAGTGCAGTGAATGTGGAAAATTCTTTACCTACCATTCCAGTCTCATAAAACACCAGAGAGTTCACTCTGGATCAAGGCCCTATGAGTGCAATGAATGTGGAAAATCCTTTACCCAAAACTCTAGCCTCATTGAACACCGTAGAGTTCATAGTGGAGAAAGGCCTTACAAGTGCAGCGAATGTGGGAAATCTTTTAGCCAAAGCTCTGCACTTCTGCAGCATCGGAGAGTTCACACTGGAGAAAGGCCTTATGAGTGCAGTGAATGTGGGAAATTCTTTACTTACAGCTCCAGTCTCTTAAAACACCAGAGAGTTCACACGGGATCAAGGCCTTATGAGTGTAGCGAATGTGGGAAATCTTTTACTCAAAACTCCAGTCTCATTAAACACAGGAGAATTCATACTGGAGAAAGGCCTTATGAGTGTAGTGAATGTGGGAAATCTTTTAGCCATAGCTCTAGCCTTATTAAACACCGAAGAGTTCACACTTGTTAAAGGCCTGATAAGTGCAATGGGTTTGGGAAATTGTTTACCCACAAGTCCAGCTTCAGTGACCACTACAGTGTTTACATCAGAGAAATGCTTTGTGTGTATTTGCATGCGGGAAATTAATCTTTAGGCTCCTAAAACAGAATAATGTCACATTGGATGAACACCTTGTGAGTATGGCAGACATGGCAAATCGTGTAGCTTAAGTCTAGCTTCAGTATACTCCAGAGAATTCAGTGGAGAAAGGCCTTATAAGTTCAGCAAATGTGAGAAAGCCTTCAGCTGAAGAATGTATCTCACTGGATACCACAAATTTCAAATGGGAGCACTACCTTCAATGTGCAGGTATATATGATTTCTTTGTTGAGTGCAACAACACTGGAGAAGAGCCCTTATGAAGGTACCTTGCCTGTTTTGAACCTCATTCATCCAAACATCCACTTAATTTCAGGTATGTGGGAACTGTGTTGCAGTTTTTAACCTGTCCAGAATCCATGCCAGATTGATGTCACTGCCAGTTCTGTAGCAGAAATCATATTACCCCTAATCACCAGGTAGATTTCTATTGTGTGCAGCATTCACCCAGCCTAGTGTGTTCAGGGAAGGAAAGCCCAGTGCTGACCCATTTGTGGGATGATTCATGAGCAGCTTGAGTACTTAAGTCTTTGCCAGTTTTTTTCCTTCCTTCATGAGTTAAAACATGGACCTTACCCAGTTTTGGCCTAAAGGACTCTGCTGGTGATTTGAAAAGATGGACTACACTTTTCAGGGATATTATAGGTTTCATTAGACTCTAGTGATGGGTTTTTCCAGTCTCCAAGACATCAAACCTGGAAAGTCAGCCTCCACTTGCTCTTGTTTGTAGAATAGTAAAGGTCTTACTGTTTAAGCCACCATTTATCTTAGGAGTTCCTTCACTGTATGGGGTGGTTTGTTGTTAATTGGGTTTGGTAGCCTGAAGAAATGAAATGCTCTGGTGAGGATCCCAAACTGTGTGCCTCAGTGGAGACAGTATGATGGCAGAATATGCCTCTCCAACTGTGGCCTAGGTTTTATTGCTGCTCAGAGCCTTCAACAAAAAATTGTAGGGCTTTGTGGTCCTAATTTATAAATTGTGTGCCATGCTGTTTATCAGGTTCAGAGTTCAAACTGAGGAAGGGGCCGTTTCTGATTGCTGTGACTACTCTCAGTGCTTCTGAGAGCCACATAAACTTGTTCTCTTGTTCACAGGCGATACTGCATCTTGCTCAGCACTGTTGAAGGAAATCTGTTCCCCAAGTTCTGCAGTGGAGCCCTGTGCCTTGATGTCCTGAATTCTGTAGAGTAACATACTGATTTTAAGATTATAGAAACACTGGATTAGTGAAGGAGACTGTAGCATACTGATTAGAATGTGCCTCTTTCAAAAGGTCACTCAAAATGTTTAGTCACTATGGCTTTGGGTGATAAGCAGGTATGGAAATTCTCAGGACTTCCAAAACCTTTTATCTGTATAACTTAGGGCCTTGTCAAGGAAAATAATATAAAGGTTTTGTGGATTCCTCTGGCCTTTCTGGGCTGTTCACCTAAGGCCATTGTGCCTTAGAACAAGGACAGAGAGGAGAGAGCTCCTTAGTCAGCTCTGTGAGATTTGTGACCCACCCAGTATCCATGTTGAATGAAGTTTCCACTTCAAAAATTGCTCACCTGTTTTTGCTGCCACTGAGGCAAGTACTGAACCTGTCCATTGAGTCAGTATGGTTGCCAAACCTGATGTTCTAAATGAGGAAATCCTGTCTCTATTTAAACTATACAATTTGATGATTTTTTACATTTATGTAAGTCCATGAAACCATCAAACAATCATGATAGTTTCTGTCACCCCATACTTACCTTGAATCTCTTTGTCCTCCAAGCAGCCATTAATTTGCTTTTCATTATAACAGATTAGTTTGCATTTTCTCGAATTTTATATAATTGAAATCATAAAGTGTTTAGTCTTTGGGTACCCTTATATGACATGTTTATTTTGCAATTCTTCAGTGGTGCTTATATGAGTAGTTCTTTTTATATTATTGAGAATTATGTTCTATCACTATACCACAATTTATTTATTCATCTGTTTATGGATATTATTTCTAGTTTTGGCTGTTACAAATAAAAGCCATATAGAAATTGGATACAGTTCTTCATATTGAATCGTTTCCTTTCTCTCATGCTGATACCTCAAAATGTAATACCTGAATAAGAGTGTAGGTGAATATATAACTTTTCCAGAAACACCAAATTGTCTTTTAAAATGATTGCTCCCTTTTGTATTCTTGCCTGCAGTTTGAGTTCCAGTTCTCTTATATCCTTGCTAAAGTGAATATGATTTGCTTTTAAAAATTTGATTCTTTGATTAAATGTATATAGCATTAGAGCACTGTGGTTTTAGTTTCATTTCCCTTATATTTCATAATGTTGAGCATAGTTGGTGTTTAGGAGATACAGAAGAACGGTCAACGTATTAAACAGTTCAAAAGATTCAATAAGCCAAATCTGGATCGTGGCAAATTCTAATGAACAAATGGCAAGTGAATAATATGATTAAAAGAAAATAGTAAGTGGGGGATCTCCCTAGCCATCCAGTGGCTAAGACTCGGGAATTCCACTGCTGGGGGTATGTGTTCAGTCCTGGTTGGGGAACTAAGATTCCCACAAGCTGCATGGCCTGGCCAAAAGAAAGCCTCTAAGGAAATTCCAATAGATACTTCTACTCTAGGAGAACTTACCCTACCCACTGCCCACTAAGAGTAACTGAACTAATCAGTTTACCCTGAATACAACAGTTTATGGCCAAAGTTCTCAGCATGGCATTTTTTTTTTTAAAAGGTGAGTGGTACATAGAGATTAAAAAACTTGCAAGACACACCTACTTATTGCCTAAGATAAATTTTATATCCATACTGCAGTCAGTCTACATTAAGTAATGAATGCACCTGGCACAATTCAACACTTATAACTTTAAATATTTTGATTTTATGCAACAAAGTTATTGGAATTATATAAGGATCTTTCCATTTTAGAAACACCTCCTGAAGAGGTTATGTGTGAAATGACATGGTATCTGTGATTATAAATAAAATAAACCACTAAGTGCATAGGGATAGATAAAATAAGAACAACCATAAAAGGATAAATAGGGAATTCCCTGGCAATCCAGTGGTTAGGACTCCATGCTTCCACTGCATAGGGCCTGGGTTTGATCCCTGGTTGGGGAACTAAGATTCTGCAAGCTATGTAGTGTAGGATAAATAATGACAGGCATTACTTCCTAGTAGTCTATTTTTGGATATATGTGAAAGCAGCCATTGTATGTGCTGTTAATTTTGTGTGGTGAGAAGGATAAATTTGAAAGGCCAGGAGGAAACTGAGTTTTGAAACTCTGAATGTAAATGTCAAAATGGATATTTTAAACATAAGCAAACTTGTCACTTCCTAATCTTGTTTTTATTTTAGTAGCTATCATTTTTCATGTTTATGTGGCCATATTATTCCATTTTATTTTATCTGATACATAAAATCCTACATAGATTTCAAGGTCATTTGTAACTTTAAAATAGAAAAAATAGCATTAACATAAAAAATTAGAACAGGAAAAAGCCTTAGATATCATGATTCCCCCTTTCCTTCTTAAGCAGATAAGTAAATTAGGGCCCAGAAAGGAGAAGTGAATGACTTGGAGAGCTCGTTAGTAGACTTGGAATTAAACCCAGGCTTAGTAACCCCTTGGTCCAATGTTTTGTGTTTTTTCATATTCACAGTTTTAACTTTTTTATTTAAAGTTTTTATTTTTTAGAGCAGTTTTAGGTTCATAACAAAATTAAGAGGAAAGTGTCCTGCTGCTGCACATGCATCACCTCCATTACCAACATACCCCACCAGAGTGGTTCTGTTATAATTGAGGAACCTACACTGATTCATTTTCGTCACCCAGTGTTTATATAGTTCATATGAGGGTTTACTGTGGGTGATGTATATTCTGAGTTTGAATATATTTGAACAAATTTATAATTGGTGGCTTAGTAGTAAAGAATCTGCCTGCCAATATGGGAGACACGGGTTCAATCCATGGGTTGGGAACATCCCCTAGAGTAGGAAATGGCAACCCACTCTAGTCAGTATTCTTGCCTGGGAAATTCCATGGACAGAGGCGCCTGGTAGGGCATGGGGTTGCAAAGGATTGGACACAACTTGGTTTCTAAACAATAACCAGTGCATCACTATAGGATCACATAGAGTAGTTTCACTACCCTAAAATTCCTCTATTCTGTGTATTCATCCCTCCCCACATTGCCTGGGAACCAGTGATCTTTTTTTACATCTCCATAGTTTAGCTTTTCCCAGAACGCCGTATAATTGGAATCATACAGTATATGGCTTTTTCAGATGGCTGTTTTTACTTACTAACATGCATTTTGAGTTTGCTCCGTAAAACAAATCAAAAAGGTTCCTCCATCGTGGCTTGATAGTGCGTTTCTTTTTAATACTGAATGATGTTCCATTGTCTGGATATACCACCATTTATCCAATCACTATTGAAGGAGACATCTTGGTTGCTTCCAGATTTTGGCAATTATGAATAAAGCTACTATAAACAATTCTGTACAGGTTTTTGTGTGAACGTAAGTTTTAGAGGCCTTTGGGTAGATACCGAGGTGTCCTCTTGCTGGTAAGAGCATGTTAGTTTCCTGAGAAGCTGCCAGTGTTTCTTCCAAGGGGCCATACTGTTCTTATCAGCAGTGAATGAAGGAGTTCCTGTTGTTCCACATCCTCACCAGCATTTGGTGTTTCAGTGTATATATAGTTTGGATTTTAACAGATGTGCAATGGTATTCACTGTGAAGAATTTTTGCATCAATGCTCATGGTCTGAAATTTTCTTCTGGTATCTTTTGTTTGGGGGTTATGGCAATGCTAGTCTCTGAGAATGAGTTAGGAATTATTCCTTCTGTTTCTGTCCTCTGAAAGAATTTGCATAATTTC